ACAGTCAGTACAAATATTGTTTTATGACATTGGTTATCAACCCCACGACATGTCAACACTCTCCCTTCTTGACCTTGGAGGACCTCTTTTGGTGAAAATATATATAGCCAAAGTTACACCATTTTAAAAGTTTCTACATGTGCAATTCAGTGACATCGATTACATTCTTCCAGTTGTGCTGCTATTCTCACTATCCTTTTCCAAATTATTCCATCACCAATTATCTTCAACTCACTGCCCCCTAGGCTTCCCATCAAACCTTCTGAGTTGCTGTTGTCAATTTGATCTCACATAGATAATTCTCTCTTTTTTTGTACCTTAGATGAAGGTTTGCAGAACAAATAGTTTCTCATTAAACAGTTAGTACACATATTATCCTATGACAATAGTTAATTTACCCCATGATACCTGTGTTTTATTGACTATCCAAAGGCATTCAACTGTACAGATCATAACAAATTATGGATAACATTGTGAAGAATGGGAATTCCAGAACACTTAATTTTCTCATGAGGAACTTGTACTTAGACTAACAGGCAGTAGTTCAAACAGAACAAGAGGATACTACATGGTTTAAAAGCAGGACAGGTGTGCGTCAGGGTTGTATCCTTTCTCCTTTCACCATATTTATTCAATCTGTATGCTGAGCAAGTGATCTGTGAAGTTGGACTATATGAAGAAAAATCTGGCATCAGGATTGGAGGAAGACTCATTAACAACCTGCAATATGCACATGACACAACCTTCCTTGGTGAAAGTGAAGAGGACTTGAAGCACTTGCTGATGAAGATCAAAGACTACAGCCTTCAGTATGGATTATACCTCAACACAGAGAAAACAAAAATCCTCACAACTGGACCAATAAGCAACATCATGATAAACAGAGAAAAGACTGAAGTTGGCAAGGATTTCATTTTACTTTGATCCACAATCAACGCCCATGGAAGCAGCAGTCAAGAAATCAAATGACATACTGCATTGGGCAAATCTACTGCAAAAGACCTCTTTACAGTGTTAGAAAGCAAAGATGTCACTTTGGGGACTAAGGTGTGCCTGACTTAAGCCATAGTGTTTTCACAGAAGAATTGATGCCTTTGAATTATGGTGTTGGTGAAGAATACTGAATATATCATGGACTGCCAGAAGAACAAACAAATGTGTCTTGGAAGAAGTATAGCCAGAATGCTCATTAGAAGCGAGGTTGGTAAGACTTCGTCTCACATAGTTTGGACATGTTATCAGGAGGGACCAGTCCCTGGAGAAGGACATCATGCTTGGTAGAGTAGAGGATCAGTGAAGAAGAAGAAGACCCTCAATGAGATGGATTGACACAGTGGCTGCAACAATGGGCTCAAGCATAACAATGACGGTGAGGATGGCGCAGGACCAGATAGTGTTTCGTTCTGTTGTACAGAGGGTCGCTATGAGTCAGAATCGACTTGATCGTACCTAACAACAACAACCACCACATGCTTTCTTCTCTAAGTGGTAAAATGGATTTTGAAAATACTACGCTCAGTGAAAGAAGCCAGACATACAAATATTATGCTCAATGGAAGAAGTCAGGTTTACAAAACAGTATTAAATCTTCTTTTTTACCTCACTGTTTATTGCTCTATGCTGTTCTGATCTGAGTTGTACCTTTTTAAAATGACTGGCTTGATCTGGAAAACAATATTAATGTCCCAGTTTGATCCTTCCTAGAGAGTTTTACATGTAGTTCTTTTAATGGAATCAGAATATAAACAGAAAGCAAATGAGGTCTTCGAAAGAAAAAAAAAATCACACTTTACTTTGACAGTGCGCTTTGGCCACCTCTGAATTATCCGCTTAAAGGGATAATCCTCTCTCTCCCTTCTCTCCCTTCTCACAGAATGCATTTCATCCCATTGTGCATGGGGTCGTCGCCACGCGTCGGGGCCAATTCAATGGCAGCTAACAACAGCAAACACTACCACCGTGTTTAAAACTGCCCGTTAAGTTTGCAAGAAATCCAAACTCCTCCTGTTGTTCCCAAGGCCTCACCTACCTCTCTCCTCCCAGCCCTGTGCATGTTCTAAGACATCAGATTCATCCCCTTCAGAGCCTTTGCACATACTGTGCCTCTCTGCAAAAGAATACTTTTTACACATAACCCCTGCCAAAAAAAAAAAAACATACCCAGTGCAGTCAAGTTGAGCCCGACTCATAGTGACCCTATAGCACAGAGTAGAACTGCCCCATAGGGTTTCCAAGTGTAATCTTTATGGAAGCTGACTGCCACATGTTTCTTCTATAGAGCAGCTGGTGGGTTCAAACTGTCAACCTTTTGGTTAGCAGCCAAGCACTTAACCACTGTGCCAACAGGGCTCCTTTTTATACATACACACCTGCAAAATAAGATTGAAAACTCATTCTTGGAAAGGCCTGTCCCTTTTTCTGAACTAATATCCTTCACACTTTGTAAAAATATTTCAGAAAAAGGGTGGTAATGGTTAACGAGAGATGGTAGTTTACTTTGCCAAGTAAAGACATAAGAAAAAGTTGGTACATCCGAACAAAACAGCCCGTGGCATCTTTTTCAGGAAATTTGTGGGGTCTCTGAGCAAGTCCAGTACTCCATGTCTAGTCTGTTTACCTCATGAAGTGCTTAATCACTGGGAGAGAGAGATGAATAAGAGAGTTCCTACTCTCAAGGAGTTCACAGCCTAATAAGGGAGAAAATACCTAAATATGTCATTTCCATTTAATGCGCCACCCACAGTGACTGATGGCTGGAATAACAGAGTCTGACTCTGGCAAGACTAAACCCAGCTGCTGGCAGGGGAGTCCTCCAAGTCCACAGGTGTGAGTGGCTGGAGTCACCAGGAAGAGAGTCTCACTGGAGATAATGTGTGTGTTTAGGAGGTGGGGTTGCAAAGGGACACCACTGCTCGTGGCAAGGAGAGATAACAGCCAGGTAAGAGCAGGTAACTGGGACAGTTCAATATTATAGTTGGTTATATTAAGAAAATACTATCTGGTGTAACTAACAGCACAGGTGAGAAATTCAGAAATAGTCATCCAAGCAAGTCTTTTTTCTCCTCCACCCCGCCGCAATATACAGGGCATTTACTATTACGCTAGGGAGTCCCTGGGTAGCACAGATGGTTAACAGCTTGACTACTAGCCACAAAAGGCGCCTGGGAAGACAGGCCTAGCAACCTGCTTCTGAAAGGTCATAGCCCTTGAAAACCCTATGGAGCATTTCTACTCTGCACACATGGGGCGGCCACGAATCAGAATCAACCTGACGCAATAAACAACATTATGCTACTTAACAATCTTCTGGGTTAGGCTTAGTAAATCCATCATTTCATGCAACACACACGTTTCCTGTGAGATGAGTATTATCAACCCCAAGACAAGGATACTGGGGATCAGGGTGTTAAGAAAGCTGCCCACGTCACACATCGAGCGGCTGGCAGAACCAGGATTCCAGTTTAGGTCAGCAAGATGCCACAGGGTCTCCACTCCTTCATGCTACTGGTAAAATTAATAGCTCAGCCCTTAAAAAGGGCTCTTTTGACAAGGATCTTGTAATCTATCCTGGAAATACCTTTTCTGTGAAAAATTCAATAGCTCACTAAAACTGATAGTAGTTAGACAGCCTGCTAACAATTAGATAAACAAAGCTGTATTCAACTATACGTATCTACCTTAAAATAAAAAATGTCAGCCCCAAATCTCCCACCTTATCCATTCTTAATTTTCTAGCAATACAACTTCAAGTAAAAAAGCAACTGCCAGATCTGAAAGAAGGTAACTGTAAATACGTGTACACAAAGGCACATTTCTGAGTTAGATGAAAATAAGGACAGAGAGAAAAATGACAAACAGGCACCATTCCATGAGCAAGAATATTTACCAAAAGATAACGACCCTTCCGGCTCTAAGCGACACTATAGGACAGAGTAGAACTAGGGTTTCCAAGGCTATGATCTTTATGGAAGCAGGCTGCCACATCTTTCCCCCGCAGAGCGGCTAGTAGTTTCAAACCGCCGACCTTTCGGTTCGCAGCCGAGCGCTTAACCACTGATGAACTCTACCGCAACCGGGTTTGGTTTCTGGTTTTAATGACCCTCGGTCCACAGCACCGATTGGTTTAGCCAACTCTAAGGCATACCATTATTTTCAATTTGGTCTTTCAGAGTGGTAATTAAAGTGTAGTGGAAAACAAATTTTAAGACACCCAATGGTGGCAGGCTTTTGTCTGTGGGGCGGGGTGGGGTGGGGTGGGGTAGGGTGGGAGGGAGAAGGGGGTCCTCCATCACCTTACAAGAAAAGTCCTACAAAGGTTTTCCAAGTATCAGGCAGCTGTCCCAAGGTTAGGGAAACACCTCGGGCAAGCTTCTGTAAGCAGCTGCACTTTAAAAGCTAAGGGGCCATGCTGGCCGCTGGGGGAGGGAATCCTGCAGACGCCAGGCCAGAGCGCGGGCACTGCGGCTCCAAGCCCTCCTTCTGGGGACTGCTCGGGAGGCGTGTGAGTCTTCCCCCAACAGGAAAGCCCTCCGTGTGTACAGGTCCCTGTCCTCAGCCCTCGGTCCGGACCAGGGCCGCACGAGCAAACAAAGGCTCAGCCTCTTGGCCGTCGGCCGGCCGATGCGCTGGGTGGACCTGCCGTGACCGACCTGACCTCCATCTGCCGGACCACAAAGGCGCGCCGGCCAGGCGACGGCATGGCAGTACATCCTCCCCCCTGGTCACCAGCGGCGCGGAGCTGGGGGAACCTAAAAGGGACCCCACCCAGCCTCTCGAGCGCCCTCGGGGATCTCCGGCTGGAGCCGCCTCTGCACTGCAGCAGCGCGCGCCCTGGGCCTGGGAGTCACCTGCACCCCGGAGCCGCCCCCACGGCGCCGTCCGGACCCCACACCAGGGTGAGGACGCCACGCCGCTCTCCCTTCACGGGCCTGCGGGGAGGAGACGCCCGGTTTCCCGGCGGACGAGGGCGCAGACGCGGGGCGGGCGCGGGTCCGACCTACCGGCGGCCGTGGCCCTTCTTGGCAGGCGCGCCCACGTGCGGCGCGGAGGAACCCGCCGGGGTGCGGAACAAGAGCGGACTGGCTAGCGGCTGCGACGCCGCCAGGAGCCGAGATCTAGCAGGAAGCGCCGCACCCCAGCAGAACCCCAGCGGCAGCCGGATCCAGGGGGCGGAGCTGAGTTGAGGGGCGGGCCCTCGGCGCGCGGGGGCGGGGCGCAGGGCGGGACCTCGGCGCGCGGGGCGGGATTGAGAGGCGGGGCCTCGGCTAGAGGGGCGGGGCCTGACAGAGTTTAAGCACGCGGGGCGGGATCGGGAGGCGGGGCCTCAGCAGGAGGGTGTGGGGCTCGGAGGCCGATTCTCAGCGCCCGAGGGGGCGGTTCCTCGACTCGTGGGGGCGTGACATCGGCGCGCGGGGTGGGGCCGAGAGGCGGACGGGGGCGGGTCCTGGGCCCCCGGGGGCGGGTCGTCAGCTCCGGGGGCGACTCACAAGCGCTGGGTTTAGGAGAGCGAGTCTTCCGCAGGTTCCGGGCCTTGCGCGTCGTTTCAGGAGGCTCACTGGCTTCCGCTCTGGCAGCGGGGCTCCCGGGAAGGCCTCGCACAGGTGGGCGGGGTAGCATCTGTCTCTCGCCAAAGGCTCTCCCGACACACCCGAATAGGAGACATCGGTCAGCCGAAGGTGGTCCATCCGTGCATAGGCCCTTGGTCGGATTTTGGATTTACAGACAGGAGAACTTTGGGACCCAAGAAAGGTGCATGGCACCTGGCTCAACCCCATCGTCTCCATCAGGACCACAGCCAAGCCCTTTCACACTCGCTTGGGACGCGGAGGGCTCGGGTCCCATGTTAAGATGCCCCTGCCCAACAGGTCGCGCTTGCACCTTTCCGACCCTCAACGGCAGAGGAGGTGAGGTTCTTTCTTCCAGGGATGAACTCGTTATGTGGGCTCTGGCTTAGAAAGACGAACCTCACGTCTACTCTAAAGACTATCAATATTTTCAGATAAACCCTAACCCCTTTCTTCATCCTCACGAGCCTTCAGACCTGGACAGTCCAGACCCGCCAACCTGGCCCGGCAGCTGCAGGGCGAGACGCACCTTGAGACCGTGGGAGCCGAGGCAGAGTTCTCATGAGCATCAGCAAATCCTGGTTGCCCCCGCTGGGACTCTCAGCCAATCAAAGCAGCGCCACCTGTTGATTGGGATTGTAATTTCTGTACAGGCCTCTACCATTTAACCCCTGACGGTCCATTAGGAGGAGCCCTGGTGGCACACTTGGTTAAGAGCTATGGCTGCCAACGAAAAGCTTGGCAATTTGAATCCACCAGTCACTCCTTGGAAAACCGATGGGGCAGTTCTACTCTGTCCTGTAGGGTCGCTATGAGTTGGAATCGACTGGACGCCAACAGGTTTGGTTTGGTGGTCCATTAGGAATTTTCCGGTCTAGTCTGTGTTCACAAAGGCTAGGCAGTCCATGGATGAGCTTCGAGGGGTGGGGATGACGTCTATGGACGCTTAGCAATTGTATGGAACATCCTGTGTATATGCATTTTTCCGGAGAAAGGGTATGTAGTTTATCATATTCTCAAGGGTATCTATAACTTTGGGAAAGTGCCAAAAATATTAATAGTTTGGGATGCTGGACTCCTGGCCTAGCCAGGCTGCTGATTCCATCCCCACTTGGTATATTCCAAGGACCCCGGATGTAAATCCAGTAGTGCCCAATTTTAAGAATGGTCATAAAATAGAAGCAGAGAAAAATTTAAGGATTGAGTCACGTTTAGCAGGAAAAAGTGAATTTATGAAAATTTGTTTCCTAATGAAGATATGAAAAATCTGTTTTTTACAGAAACAAAGGCAACAAACAGGTGAGTTTTTTTAGGTTCTTTAAATCCTAGCCACACTCCACACTACACTAAAGATGAAAGAATATCCTATACCCAACATTTAAAAAAAGGGAAGAGGAGAATCAGTCTATTTGTGTCAAAACCACCATGTACAAGTTTGTTCTAACACATTTATATAAGTAATACCTACCAGTACTTTGTGTTTATATGTCACTTGTCTCTAAAGAACTTGGTGCATAAGTGGAGGAGGGTTAATTTACATTTATTTTGACGAATTTAAGTATTGTAAATCCTTCAAAGAACAACTTAATTTATAATTAGGATTGACAGTAAATGTACAACATTAAATTTTAGATGTTTATTCTTACAAAAAATAATTCTGCTTTCTTAGGTCAAGTTGTCTTATCACACTTAAAAGTCTACTTAGCTCTGTTTATTTATTTAAGACCTGTAAGTAGGGTGGGTTCTTTGTATAATAAGACTGTTGTTGTTAGGTGCCCTCAAGTCAGTTTCAACTCATAGTGACCCTATTTGACAGATCTGCCCCATGGAGTTTCCTAGGCTGTAATTTTTCCAGGAGATTGCCAAGTCTTTTCTCCCGTGGAGCGACTGGTGGGTTTGAACCACGACATTTCAGTTAGCAACTGAGCGCTTAACCATTGTATCACCAGGGCTCCTATAATACTACTACTCAAGCTAACTAGGGCATCTCAAATTTAATTTAAATTAGAACTTTAACCTTTACCCTCTCAACAGTAAGGAAGGCATTATAAATTGATGTTGTTAGCCACTGTTGAATTGGCTCCTGACTCATGGTGACCCCATGCATAGAGAAAGGAAACATTGCCTGCTCCTGTGCCATCCCCATGATTGGTTGCTGATCGGACCATTGTGATCCATAGGGTTTTCATTGGCTGGTTTTCGGAAGGAGATTGCCAGGCCTTTCTTCTAGTTCATCTTAGTCTGGAAGCTCTGCTGAAACCTGTTCAGCATCATAGCAACACACAAGCCACCACTGACAGATGGGTGGTGGCTGCACATAAGGTAATTGGCCAAGAATCAAACACTGGGTCTCCATCATGGAAGGTGGGAATTCTACCACTGGGCCACCAGTGATCCTCTTTATAAACCATAGACCAAGTAAATGCATTCTGAGTTTCCACATGCAGATATTGGCAATCCTTTGAGCTGTTTCTTCTATAGACTAGATTCTACGTCAGCCATTTCCATAGTAACCACTGTTGACTTCCCTGTCCTTCCCAGTAGCCTTCACTTCCTTGGCTTTCCCAGTTACTCTTAGTCGAGAAGAAGTCTTGTGTAGTTCTGTATTTGATGCTGCGCCCACTTTGGAGCTGACTCGCGGTAACAGTTGAAACCTTTGTCGTGACTATTATTATCGTCTGTTTCATCTCCACAGTACATGGTTGTCCTTGATCTGTCACAATCCTCGCTGCAATTCAGTAGGTGAAGGGGAAGGCAGGGGGCCAGGTCCAAAGCTGGCATTGTAAGCATACTTACCCACATATGCTTAAGCCTAGAAACCAACCAAAAAACCAAACCTGTTGCCGTCTAGTCAATTCTGACTCATAGTGACCCTACAGGACAGAGTAGAACTGCCCCGTAGGGTTTACAAGGAGCGACTGGTGGATTTGAACTGCCAACCTTTTGGTTAGCAGCTGAGTTCTTAACCACTGCACCACCAGGGCTCCAAGCCTATAAAAGAATATCACAAGAAAGTTGATGGGGAAGGGACCACTGGCTCCATCTTATGCCAAAGACACATAAGTAGCATGGGATAATCCATTTAAATATGCCTCATTTAAACCATCTTTCATTTCTCTATGGAAAAGTTCATGCAGAGGAGAATTTGGGAATCTAACAACCATATGGCTTACAAATTCCTTAGTTTCAATGCATCCTTTCCAGGAGAGTTGCCTGTGGTCTAGACAGTGAGCTGGACATGCCACGCGCTTGGCACCAAGGAAGGTCAGAACTTTGTGATCGGACCACCCTGGGTATGATCCTGGCTCTTGACTCTAAGCTGTGTGGTCTTGGGCAAGCTAGTTCACCTCACCAAGCCTTTATTTCTTCATTAGAAAAATGATATGAACACCTATCTCAAAGGACTATTTTAAGCATTATGTAAAATGAAGTTGTAAAAGTGTTAAATAAGACATTTGGCCTACTATGTAATGAGCTATCAAAATATATATTTTTTCTTGTTTCCCTCGGATTCCAAGTCACATTATTTTTTTCTCTACAGCATACCACGAAACATCTTAATGTACTTATATTTTAATGTGGTGGTGGTGTTAGTTGCCGTTGAGTTGGCTCCAGCTCATGGCAACCTTATAAAAGAACCAAACATTGCCTGGTCCTGCACCATCTTCTGTTGGTATGTTTGAATCCATTGTTTTGGCTATTGTGTCAATCCACCTCATTGAGGGTTTCCCTTGTTTTCACTGGCCCAGTCTACTTTACCAAACATGATGTCCTTTTCTAGCGATTGGTTTTAATGTACTTCCTTTTCATTGTAATCAACAACAACCCTTAAATTAGCTTAAGGAAAGGAGAAATTTAAGGATACAAGGGTACCTTGAGCATCTCTTCGAGCCCAAGATCTCAGGAATGGTCTGGAATGAGGGAATGAATGCCACCGGGAGGGTCAATTGTTGTCCCTCTTTGGGGTACTCTGTCACTGCTTCCCTTGAGGATCAGCTTCATATTTCTCTGGCTATAGTTTGGCACTCTCTGCTCCTTTGACCACATGGGGTGGGACATGGCCACTAAGTAGCAACTCTGAGCTTTACCTGTCCCAGTCCAGCTGGTCCTGCTTTCTAGAAGAAGAGTCTCATTGGCCCAGCCTGGGTCAAAGGCCTACAGCTGTACGCATTAACAGAGGCTGGAGGAGCAAAGTCACCTGTGGTTGCTCCAGCTGCAAACATGGAAAAAAAACAGATGGGGAGGTGGTAATTCTTGGGTAGAATTTGCAGGATAGTTCACTACAGACTTTCTCATAAAAATAACATTGTTCTGACCAGTGGTTTACAATTAAGGGTCTTCTACGTGGGCTACCACTATCCACCCGTCAGTTTGTCATACTGTGGTGGCTTGTGTGTTACTGTAATGCTGGAAATATGCCACCAGTATTTGAAATACCAGTGGGTCACCCATGGTGGATCGGCTTCAGCACAGCTTCTAGACTAAAACAGACTAGGAAGAAAAACCTATCAATCTACTTCCAAAACTTAGCCAATAAAAGCCTTACGGATCACAACAGAACACTGTCTTATACAGTGCAG